TCCGATCCAGCATGCTGTTTCACACAGTGGCAGACCAGTTGCCGTGGGGGACCAAACTGGGCACAGAGGCCAGGGCCTTTCTGTGATATTTCTAGAGTTACCAACCTCCAGGTGGCAGCAGGAGATATCTTGGGATTACAACTGATCTCCAGGCAATGGAGATCCGTTCCCCTGGAGAAAATGGTGGCTTTGAAAGGTGGATCTATGGCATTATGCCCCATAGGAGCCAGCTTGGTGTAGTGGTTAAGTGCGCGGACTCTAATCTGGGAGAACCGGGTTTGATTCCCCACTCCTCCACTTGCACCTGCTGGATGACCTTGGGTGAGCCATAGTTCTGACAAGAGCTGTCCTTGAAAAAGAGCAGTTTCTGTCAGAGCTCTCTCAGCCCCACCTACCTCACAGGGTGTCTGTTGTGGGGAGGGGAAGGAGTTTGTAAGCCGCTCTGAGACTCCTTTGGGTAGTGAAGGGCGGGGGATAAATCCAATCTCTTCTTCTTCATAGAAGTACCTCCCCTCCCCAAATCACGCCCTCCTCAGGTTACACCCCCCAAACCTCCAGGTATTTCCAAAACTGGAGCTGGCAACCCTAGGTATTTCCCCCTAAGTGCTGGTCTTCAGAAGTTTAGTGCCTCTAGATGTAGATGTACCCTTTAGGCACCATGGCTAATATCCATTGACAGACTTCTCCTACATGAATCTTTCTAATTCCTTTTAAAGCCCTCTCTGCTTCTGGCATGCTCTAGCAGTGAATTTATTTCACAACTTAATTGCCTGTTGAATGAAGAAGCACTTTTTGTCTATTGTCTACCAACTTCATTGAAATTGCTGAGTTCACTTCTAGTATTGTGGGAAAGTTCTTTCTATCCATTAGCTCTAGCTCATTCATTAAGGAGCCACAGCCTTCCAGGGCAGGTGACCAATCTCCTAGGCTCTGTTTGTCTAGCGATGATTAAGCTCTAATTAGACTTTTACAAGTGTTTAGATGAAGCTTCGGTCTGTACATTCTATACTTGGTTCTATCCATTTGCTCTAGCTCACTCATTATGCAGCCAGCCTTCCAGGGCAGGTGACCAATCTCCTAGGCTCTCTTTGTTTAGCAATGATTAAGCTCTGATTAGAGTTTTACAAATGTTTAGATGAGGCTTCGATCTGTACATTCTGCGCTCGGTTGGCCAGGCTGGTGAAGTGACTTATGGAAGCCTTTAATCCCGTTGACTCTCATTGGGTTTTTAAATGAACCAAGATGACAGTTTGGAGGACAGAGTGCCACTTTAGAGGCTTATGAAGCAGCATGTTTTCTAGCTTTCAATAAAGTGTTCCATTAGCAGATGATAGATGAAAGAGCTATAGACAAGCCAGGGAAATCATTAGGTTAGTTCCCTTGAACCAGGTTTAGGGAAGGGCTGGTCTGAAAGTAGGCCAAGCCACAATTCTGCAAAGAATCTTACACATTCTCCCCATAACTCATATGCAAAATGTTCTGGGCATATTCGTAAAACTAATATTTTGTGCACGCATGAGTGACTTAAAGGCCCTGGTCACACGGCAAAGTTGCCGCGGGAGAGACACGGAAAGTGGGCGGATTATCTGGGCGCGATCACACCCCAACATCTGGGAAGTGGAGCGCACCCGTGGCTTACCGCCGACAATGTGGATTAAAAAACGAGTACCTCCAACGTACTAGTAAATGTTTGCCATGGGCTGCCTCCAGACGCCTGTGGTGTGATCGCGCCGGTTCGCGGCATCCCCCTCTGGTCCCTTGTTTACCCACTGGCGCTGAGGGAAGGACCCATGCTGTGCCGCCGGCGCGTCTGATCAGGTAATCACGGATCAAACTGCGGCGGGGCAATTAGCCACGTCTCCCCCCCCCCCGCGATATCCAGCCCGTGTGCCCGGGGCCAAAGCTAGTCATACTTGGGAGATATTGGCCAGAGACAACAATCCTGCTGGAGAACGTACAGGAAGATGGAAAGAACCTCCATCAGTTGTACTCTGAAAGACTCATACTCCAGTGTGGAGCCAGCCATGGCACTTAACAACAATTTCATATTTTAAAAATTTCATATAGATTACGAAGTGTGGGCCTGGACCAAGTTCAGCCCCGTGTGCCCCCCCCCCCAGGTATTGAGAAGTCTGACCCTGTGATACATGCAGAGTAAATATTTCCAAAGTAGATAAGAGAGTTGCAGGCAACTGGATGTTTTAAAGAGCAAACTGTTTTTATAGCTGGATCTGATGCAAACTTACTTGGAAGTCCCACTTAAGTCTATAAATTGGCATAAGATTGCAATGTTAAAAAGTTAAGCAAACAAAAAATGTTGACCAGGAGAGGATTAGTCAAATTCATGGAGGATAAATGTCTCAGTAGCTATTAGCCATGACCTTCATGTTTAGAGGCATAAATGGTTGGCCATGTATTTTTCCACTACCTTTAAAAACCCCTTGAGCCAGGAGTGACTGTTATAGAGTTAAGGAAGCTGGTTCAAAATAAAAAAGTGGTCCAAGTAAAAATCCAAAAACCCAGAACACAATCCACATAATACCCTTTATTAGGGTCAACCAAATGACACATAACAATGTGCAAGTTTTTGAGTTCTCTAGAACTCTTCTTTCAGGCTGGATGTTATGTTAACAATAATTAAAAAAAACAGGAAGAAGTTTCAGGATGTGGTGTAAAAAATTATGGTGTAGTAGTCTGCATTGTGCTATAGATTTTAGACATAGAGCTGACACTAGTATTCAGTGACACCAGCTTTTTTATGATCAAAAGGCCATAAAATGGTTACAGTCCACACACACAAAAAGAAAGAACAACAAACAAATAGCCCTTATGTCACGGTGGCTTTCTGCCAGGAGACTCTGCTTGGTTTTTGACTACACCTTAGGATCCCCTTTTGCAACCTGGCCAATTTCTGGCTTTTCTGGTATTTGCACTAGTTTCACGCGATGACGAGAAGTTCACAAATTCTTCCACTAGTGGGCGCACATGCCTCCCCTCCAAGTCCACTCCAGCCTCATGTTCTCTTTCTGGCAACTTACCCTTTTTGCTAGCAGAAAGGCGGGAGCCGCTCTACTTGTACTCTATGGTCAGCGGCTCGGTCGAAGAAAGTCCCGCTGGAAGAGAATGGCGATTGCGGGGGCCAATGAGAGGCAGAGAGACGCGAATAGTGAAATTCCC